TATATATATGTGAACACATGGGAAAACAAGAGAAACTTGTGCTGGAAAGAAGCCCAGAGTCAGACAAACTCTGGTTCAAAATATGCCCTGCTACTTACAAGTTATAATTTGGGGCAAGTTACTTTGCCCATTTATGCCAGAGAGAGAAAGAGAGAGAGAGAGAGAACAACAGAACCTGCCTTATGAGAATTATTCAGGACTGCAAAAGAGAGCTTACATGTTACTTGGCTCATGATATGGGCTTAATAAATGTTATCTATTATTATAATATTGATTAAAACAGCAACTGGTGAAAGTGTTTGATATTAACAAAGACTTTCAATAGTAAGAGGCAAAATGAGGTGTGGCCTTTCAGAAATATGAATCATGGTCTTTAAATATCTAGCCTGTAACTGATTAAATGGTGCCATGAAGGGATGGGTTTATAGCTGTTTTGTTTCATTGGAACTGGAAGAGGGATCATGTCCTACTATGCCCTCCCAGAGAGGGGGAGGGACACTGGGATCGCACTCCTGTACTGGCCACTGCCATTGTCACTTACCACATTGAGTTCGCCTCCCTCGAGAATTTGGATAAATTCAGGTTGGAGCTGCAGGTACACAGCCCTCCAATGTCATAGAAAAGCAATTCACTGATGACTGATCTCTCCATTCAGAAGCGTGCAGTCTTAATGTACAGTGATGAGAAACTGTTATTTTATGATCTTTTCATTAAAAGCTTGATTGAAAATGAAAATAAATCAGTAAATAAATAAATGGTGCCATGATTGCCATAAAGCCAGGGATTTAAGACAGCTTCGAAATCCCCCTTTACAACTGTAATAGCAAATCGTGTTTGTTGAGGCCTACAGCATCCCAAGAGATATGTTCATAGAGAAATACACATCCCACAACCATGGCATGTGAGGTAAGGAAGGCAGATATGGTCTCATAGCATTCTGGAGACGAGGCCTGGGGTGCTATGACTTGCCTAAGTCAAGCTGGTAAGTGAGGAAGTGGGGTCAGACCTCAGCCCAGGGCTCCAGGTCTAGGCTGCTTCCCATCACCCAGTGCTGCCTCCCTATGGGCCATTGTCTCTCCTTACCTGTCACTTCCCCTCTGGAAGCCACCAGTTGGAAAATGAAAATGTTTTTGTGTTCTCTCCCCTCTCATCCTGTCTGTGTAGGGATTACCTGCCTGGGTTCAACCCTAGTTCTGCCACATGCTGTCTGTGTGACAGTGGCAGGAAACTTAACTTTCCTTGACATCGGTTTCCTTATCTGAAAAATGGAGGAAATAGTGCCTATCTCAGCAGGTTTTATGATTGTTAAATTACAGCAGTTTTGTAGAGTGTCTGTCATAGAACAGTGACAGACAGAACAATGCCTGTCACAAAATAAGCATTTGATATCTTTCTGCCACCTCCCTTCGGAAGGCACTTTCACTGAGTAGAAGCTGTTTTGAAATGACTGAGTTTTTCCCATGAAGCCAAGCACTACCTTACTGTCTGGACTGTGGGAGCTGGGGACAGGGCAGTGGTACAGGCTCCAGGGCCTATTTCAGAAGGCTTGTCCCCCACTACTTAAATGGTGTAACAAGTGGCTTCACATGTAACTTCACCTCTCCAACCCTCAGTGTCCCCCTAGGTGAAGCACCTCATGAAATTGGTGTGAGGATTAGATGAGAGAAACTGGATAAAATGGCTATCCCAGCATCTGTCACAGCTCAGACCCTGGACAAGCGGGAGCTCCATCCATATTATTTGTGTTCCTTGCTTCTTGGCACACAAGGCTGGCACAGGCATTGCCTAGAGCCTTCTGCAGGGGCTGCAGCCAGCAGACACATCCTAAGTGGTTGTTGCACTGTCAGCCTTGACAGTGGGCTGGCAGGTTGGCAGAGATGGGCCCAGCCGTCTGCCGCCTCCTAGGAAGGACTGTCTCTTCCCTGAGATGCGTGTCTTCTTGATGTTCGGCACCAAGAGCAGGATTTAATGAAGGCAGCTTAAATCAACATCCCCTGCACTCAGCAACAAGCCCTGTAATGAAATGTGAGCTGACAAGTTTCTCCACACTTCGGTGAGGTGTATGGAAACAGTGAAGTCAGATTTTATAAGTGTTTACTCAGGTCCATGGTTCCCATCAGCTTGGCTTCCAGTCTTATCTCAGAAACTCCTCCAGAAATTCAGCCCCATCCAAGTGGTCCTTCTTCCTGACAGCCACCCAAGATAAGGGAACACATTCCCATGGCCCATAAGAGCACAGGTTCTATGTTCCTTCGCCCCCAACACCCTTCAGTCCTCAGCTCTGGGCTTAGTGGGGTGTCACTTCCTAAGTCATCTGAGATGATGATGATGGTGGTAGTGGTAGTGGTTGTAGCCATGATGATGAATAAAGGGAAGCAGCAATTGCTGCAGCTGTTGTTATAGAAGAAGAACAAATTAGGGAAAATTACTTGTCCAAAGTAAATTAGCTTTGCAGCAGTGGACTTTGACTTAACTCCAAGCTGTCTCTTTCCAAGTCCTCCGCTGGGGGCCCCAGTATGTGCTTTCAGGGTACGTTCTCAATAACCTAAGCTCTTCCACTAGGGCCTGTCTCCTAAATGGTCCACCACCTCCTAACAGTGCCACAGGTTAAGGAGCGAGCCTCAATCACATGACTTTTGAAGAATCTTCAAGATCTAAACTGTAACCCTATGCACTGTGATAACTGAGCAATGTATTCCACTTGTGTCTCTCTCCGATCACACTGTGAGCTCCGTGAGGTCAGACTCTATAGTATTCCTAGCACAGGGCCAAACATGCATTTGGACAGGTTCTTAGTGATTACCACATGAGTCACCTGCCAGTGAATGGTCAAAGTAAGGACAAGAGAGCCCACTGGGAACACAGCAGGGAGGGCTGCAGCTGAAGCCTCTGCCCAGAAGACCCCGTGTACCACCAGACAGTTGTCCTCTTTCAGGACTCCATTCCTCCTGCCCACTCACTATTCCCCTTCCACCCCCCATGAAGTCTGTAGAACTGAAAGCAAATCTCTGGGCTCCTTCTCTGTAATGTTCCTCATTTGTG